CCACCAGATATTTTTAACCATTGTTGATGAAGAATTCCACGCTGGGTCAGCTCCCACTTCCTCTAAGAGCTGAGCTAAATGGACCAGTCAGGAAAACCAGAAAGGTTAGCAAGCACCAGAGAGGTCTCCGGCAGCTCTTTGCAGATGCACGGCTAGCCGCAAAACCCGGACACATTTAGAGACAGGAGACCAACGACAGAGAAGAACAAGCCCATTTCTGGGTGGAAAATGTTAACCCCAGAGCTTCGGAAGGCCTGCCTCCTAAGTGATGGGAAAGGAGAAGCACAGTCAATTTCCAAGTATCCAGATGACACTGCCCCTCGGGGCAGTGAGAGGTGAAGCTGACGCAAACTTCAGCAACGTCTCCCCAGGCTGTGGGAGCGGGCGAGAAAGCAGAGGAGGTCGGAGATGGGCACGTACAGAAAACCGCATGGGGGGCAGGGGACCTCAACTCTTAGAGAACAGGGGATCTGTGCCCTCCATTCTAACTGGTTTGGAGGGGTCACCGCAGAGGGCCTATGGGACACACTGGCCCTGCGTGCTGCCCGACACCCCCAAAAGGCCAACGCGCCCCCCAGAATTACGAGACACCACCACCAACCCTCACACAAGCCAACACGCATCTGCTCCCGGAATAGCTTGTGCGGCTCTGGCGGCTGAATTTCAAGAGCCCTGACAGCTGCAAACAGTCCAGACAAGGGTGGCTAAAATGATCAGGGCACAGAGGCGTGTCTATATGAGGAAAGCCTAAAAGAATTAAGACCATTCTGTCTGGAGGGACAAAGGCTTGGGCCCCGAGGCAACACAATCAGCGTCAATGAAATGACCAAAGGTGAGGCCGGGTCAAACCCAGTCAGTGAGGAGGAGGCGGTGCCCTTCCTTCCCCAGCGGGAGCCTGACGGGGCACGTTCAGGACAAATAAAATCAGAAAGTACTTTGCACAAGAGAGTCCATTGCCCACAGGAAGTGAGAAAGGCCAAACATATAAATAGGTTCAAGAGGGTTTAGCTATAGTCTTGGATAACAGCTCCATAATAATTATGAAACGTAACTTAAGGAGATATCTCATCTTTTGAGCTGGTGGACAGGGAGACAAAGCCCTGGCACGGAGAGGCTCGGGGCTGTGTTATTTGGTATGTTTAGCTTTCTCAAGCCTGGGAGCCCAGGAGCAGATCCTTAGGGTGGGAGACAAAGGAGACAGTGGGCTCTCTGATCACCTCAGACCCCGGGGCTAGTTCTCCTCTAAGAAAAGTCGGGTCAGAAAAGCAGGGTGAGGAAAAGGCGCAGAGTGTCAAAGGCAAAGATGGGCTCGGGGGAGAGAAAGGGTGCCCACGGCAGGGAGGGGATGAACACAGTGTTGTGGGCGTGGGCTGGGTGGGCTCCGTATGTCAAGGACACTGGTTCCCTGGGCAGCTTGGTTATGCACCGGGACCACTTGGAGGTTTGAGGCCATTGTGATTCCCCTCTGAGACAGGCCCTAGAATGGTCCCCCAACAAATCCATAAACCCGTGTATGTGAGCAGGAGAGAGTAGGAGAGTGGGGCAGAGGGGGAGCCTGAGATTGAGACTGATTGATGACAAGGATGCCCACCTGGGTATTCTGCGTGGGGATCTGGAGGACCAGGGCCAGCGTGTTGTGGTCAAAGTTCTCATCCAGGGCCAGCAGGGCCCCGTGCACGCCGCTCTCCTGCAGGTTTCCTGCGTAATCCCGCAGCCCAATGGACTGGACCCAGTGAACCACCTGGTCGTTGGTCCAGACGAGCACATCTGGAGGGCAGAACAAGGAAAGAGGCAGGAAGAGGCAAGAGGTTTGGCCACGCCCCCTCCGGGGACAGAAATGTGGCTCCCTGGACCCAGAGCGCCAGTCTGACCTGCTTTCTGTCTTCGGTCTGTCTTCCCTGGCACCTGGGCTCCTAGAGAACAAGCCCCACTTCCCTCCATCCCTGCCAGCCGATAGGACTCAAGGCCAGGCCATCAGGCTCCCGGCTTTCTCCCCAGAGCCCTTGCCTGGGTCCTCTCCTGCCCCCAGGCTGGAATGGTCCTCTTATTTTTCCACCTTTGAAGGGTCTTCTAAGACTTGTCTCTCTTTCCTGCCCAATGCCACCCAGATCACCAAGTTCCATGAGCACTTTCCCATACCAGTCTCTAGCGCTAGGAATCCTAGGGGATTCACTGCATTTGTCCAGTCGGTGGCCATCGTTGGCGGGGGGGCGGTTACAGCTGACTGGGCAGGGACTGTTTCTTCTCCACCAGATGGCAACATCCTTTGGGCATGGACTATGTATGTCTGCCTCATCACACAGACTGGGGCTGAGTCTTCCCTCTTGGGTTTGGAGCTTCCCCTAGGCACAGAATGCCTCCCCTCCCCGCCACTCACCCAGGGCAGGGAACAGCAAGGTAGGAGCCTGCTCCCCCAAGGCTGCTCCATGCCTTTCAGAGGAGGCCCGCTGAGCTTGACCAGCTTACCCTTGATCTCGTGCTGGCTTTCCTCCCGTCTTTTCTCCAGCTCCTTGCGGTCATAATTCAGCCTCTTCAGACACATGATGCCGTACTGAAGACTGGTTCTGCAGGCACATAGCCCTCCCTGAGCCAGAGTCTCAGTGGGGCCACATTCCTGCCACCTCTGCTCCACATCCACCACCAGCCATAGCATGTCCAGGCCCACGTCTTCCAGCTCAAAGAGCCTCCCAGCCTACTCACGTTCCTCCTTCTCCCAGGGCTTACATGTGACCCAGGCCAAGGCTACTTCCCCTCCTCTGCCCAACCCACGTCCTCCCTCTCAGCCAGGGTATGGGTCTGACAGATGGAAGGAAAGTTCTCTGAATGAAGCAACAGCCCCCCACGCGCTAGGCTCTGGAATGACCCTACAGATATCTGACGCACACAGTTAGGACCCCACAGAAAGATCCCTACAGATATTTCTTTGATTCCCCATTTCACTCAGAGTCCTTACAATAACCTACGCATGCTACACGATTTGCCTTGTACACTGACATCTCTGTTCTTCCTCAAACACAGCCGGCACGCTACGCCTGCCTATGTGCCTCAGGGCCTTTGTACTAGCTGCTCCCTCTGCCTGGAACACTCCTTCCCCAATCTGTTGCATGGCTCACCCCCTGTCTCCTTTAAGTCTTCGCTCAAATATCATCTTCTCAATTCAATGGTCACCTTGTCCACCTGATTTAAAACTACAACATCACCATCACCACTGCAGCCCATGCTCCCAACCCCCTTACCCTGGTCTAATTTTTTTCCTGGCACTTTTTGTCTGTTAACATAGTATATATATACAGTATAGATAGATTAATGGATGGATAGGTGGATGGATGGATGGATAGATAGACACTATCTACAGATAGATAGATAGTTCCTTGTCTGTCTCTCCCAGTTAGAATGTAAACTCCATGAGGGCAACTCTGTTTTGTTCACTGATCTATCTCAAACCCCTGGAATAGTGCCTAGCACATAGTCAACACCATTTATGGTGTTAATGAATGAAATGAAATGGTTCACAGAAAGTACTAAACGTACTTAAACGGTACCAGGTGCAGAGTAAGCATTCAATAAATAATCACAAGCCAGGCCAAGAACCACAGAACCAGCAGGTTAGAAGGGACCCCACAGGCCACCAGTCCAAGCCCCCATTTCACACAGGCGTCACCTGTGTAGCATCCTTCTGAGCAGTGTGAACACCGTACCCAGCACCTCTCAGACAGGGAACTCACGACCTCTTGAGGCAGCTCATCCCACCTTTCATTAGAATGTTCTTCCTTCACTTGAACACTGCTTTTCATTCAAGCCTCTCTGGGTTTTGTCATCTATCAAACGGAGGAATAGACGTTCCCAACTCTATTACTGAGGCATCGCCTTGTGAAATTAAATTATGCTGCCTACTCCCTCCTTCTCTCCCCTCAGCTCCACCCAGGCAGCCCTGCTTCCTAGAACAATCCCTCGCAGCTCACAGACACCACTTCTAGGAACCCTTTTCTGGCCCAAGGCAACCAACCAATCGTTGCTCAAGCCACTGGTTTAAGCCTTGGTCCGCTGGAGGCGGCAGAAGCACACACACCTCCTGACCGGAAATGCCTTCTGCCTACTTTCCGTCTCACTTGCTATCATTTTCTGTCCAAGTCCTAGGACTTTCAAAGCTGCTGCATTGCATGGAGAAAATTTAAAGTCAGATCAACTTGGGTCTGAATGCAGCTGTGCCACTTCCCAGCCCAGTGGCCCTCAGCACATGGAAATGAGGCCACCCCTCTCCTGCGGTGTTGCCATGGACATCACAGGTGGTCGTGCGTGGAAGGGCTCGGCCTCGCCCCTGGAGCATCCAGGCACCCGGCAATGGTACCACTATCAGGAGAACGCTGCCGACGATGGTGTGTGCCGGTTCTCCTATCAAAACAGCCGGTTCTCTAGGAAAGCTGCTCAAGAGAACACGATGCTCCGAGGAAAAGAGCTCAGAAATCGATGTCAAGAAGGAAGGATGTTGGCCCCAGTCTGTGTCACCTGGTGACACTCCTGGTCTCTGTCGGGCTTGTTTTCCTCACACAAAGGAGGGTTTTTAAATATGTTTTGCCATAGGGGCGCCTGGGTG